GATCTATTTCTCCACCTGGAGAGATCCATTCTGCCCCTGGAGAGATCTACTCTCCAACTAGGCAGATCCACTCTCCACCTGGAGATCCATTCTGCACCTGGAGAGATCCATTCTCTACCTGGGCAGATCTATTCTGCCCCTGGAGAGATCCATTCTCCACCTGGAGATCTATTCTGCACCTGGAGAGATCTACTCTCCAACTAGGCAGATCCATTCTCCACCTGGAGATCCATTCTGCACCTGGATAGATCCATTCTCTACCTGGGCAGATCCATTCTCTACCTGGGCAGATCCATTCTGCCCCTGGAGAGATCCATTCTCCACCTGGAGATCTATTCTGCACCTGGAGAGATCTACTCTCAAACTAGGCAGATCCACTCTCCACCTGGAGATCCACTCTCCACCTGAAGAGATCCATTCTCCACCTGAAGAGGTCCATTCTCCGCCTGGGCAGATCCATTCAACTACCGGTGGTGGGAGGGTGGAGAGGGAGGATCTATTCTTCCCTCCGGATCTCCGACTCCGCAGCGGCTCCTCGCCGCCCCGCCCAGCCGCGAAGGGGAAAAAAAAAAGAAAGAGAAAAGAAGGGCGGGCGGGGCGCCGGGACAGGTGCGCTCCGGAGCCGCCTCCCCGCCGGGCGGGGTCCTCCGCGCAAACCTGCGCTGGGCTCGCCCTGCGCGCTTCCGGGCCTTGCGCGCTCCTTGCCCACCCGGGGCCCCAAAGGGAGGCAGGTGAGCAGCTTGGGCGCGTTTGGAGAGGGGCGCACGGTTGGGGAAGCGCCCTGGAGAACGGGGTGGGAGGGTCTCCAGGTGTTGATTTGGGGGGGGCAGTGGGGCATCCCCCCCTTCCTCTGCCCCTCCCCTCTCTCTTGCAGGAGGTCCCCAAGCGGGGCTTTAGGATGGAGAGTGTGGAGGGGGGGCAGAGGGTTGGACTAGACGACCTCTAAGGTCCCTTCCAACCCAATTCTGATGGATTTATTGATAACGCTATACTGTCGCTCCGACACTGGAGGTTTTCAAGAAGAGATTGGGCAGCCTTTGTCTGAAATGGTCTAAGGTCTCCTGCTTGAGCAGGGAGTTGGACTAGATGACCTCCGAGGTCTCTCCCAACCCTATTCTGATGGATTTGATACCTGTATATTGTTGCTCCAACACTGGAGGTTTTTCATAAGAGCCGACGACTGTTTGGTCTGAAAATGGTCTAGGGTTTCCTGTTTGAGCAGGGGGCTGGACTAGATGACCTCTAAGCTCCCTTCCAACCCTATTCTGATTGATTTATTGATAATGATGTACTGTCGCTCCAACCCTAGAGGTTTCCAAGAAGAGCTTGGACAGGCATTGGTCTGAAATGGTCTAAGGTCTCCTGCTAGATGACCTCCGAGGTCCCTTCCAACACGGTTATTCTGTTTATTCTCCAACTGCCCCAAAACGAGGCAGGAAAACGGAAGCGGAAAGCAAGGTTTGCAGGCCTAAGGCAGCCAATCTTCAGGCTGGGGGGGGTGGGGGGGCTGTTGTTTTCTAACCCATGTGAGTTTCTGCCATGCCCCAACCTGCCCATCACGTCCCATGTCAAATCGGAGTCCCTCCAAAGCCTTGGAAGGAATGCAGGGTGGGGTCAACACAATGCAGGCTCCCTCTGCAGTGGTTGTGTGTGTCCCTACCACGCAATGGCTCAAGGCAAAATTGTCCCTTTGGTAGAAACGGTGGGATTATGGAATGATAAAGGGACAAATGTCAACTGCCTGCAAAAGAAAATCTATATTAAAATGTTTTTACGGATGGCGTTTTGCACCAGCAAGATTTGGCAAGGATGTTTTAAGGACATGCCTGCGACGTGTTGGAAATGTAATCAGATACCCGCCTTCGTACTACTATCCCATGTGGTGGACATGCCCAAAGGCGAAAAAAAAAAAAAAGTGTTGGACAAAAATACACACATGGGGGGGGGGGGGGGGGTAGTAAAGCAAGATCGAAAGCCAGAAATATTTTTGTGGGCTTATCTTACCAGAAAAGTGTAATAAAGAGAATACATATTTAATTTTTATGTGCGTTGACGTGTAGCTAGAATTGTGTTTGCACAACAGTGGGAAAATGAAGATACCCTTACGGATGAAAATGTTATTTAAAAAAAAAATTACAATGTGCAGACATGGATTAAATTCAAAATTAAGGAGATGGGAAAAAAACCCAAATACTTTTTAACGTGGGATTTGTTTTATCAATGGCTAACTAGCAGAAGCAGGAGTTAGAAACATAAAAGCATAAGGAAATGATTAACTACGTTGAAGATTTACTAAAATAGATATGCAAACATTATGTTATTATTATTAATGTTATAAATATGTTATGAATATTATGAATACTATGCATAACATATAAATGTTATGAATATTATTACTATTTTTCAAAAATAACTGTACTCGGACAAACACACTATATAGTTATGTTTAATAATAATAATTTTTTTAAAAAAGAACGGGGATGGGAGACCACCAGGAGATAACTTCGATCCAGAAGTTGAAAATTACCCTGGAAAAACAGATCATCAAACTATGATTATATTGCTAGCAAGGAAACTAGCTGGATCTGCAGTTGGCAAGAATCCTTGTCTCTCCAATTAGCGTCCAACTACTGGCCGTACCTATAGAGCAGAAAAATGAATATTTTAAATTATTCTGCACGGGGATTGGACAACGAAGGGAGGCCTTAGAGAACTGTTGCCTCACAATCAGAGGGCTGTGAGTTCAATTCTAGGTAGAGGCACGATGAGAATATATTTGCCGAACAAAAACTCCCCACTGGTGATAGGAAGAGCATCTGGCCAGTAAAACACTCGCCTCCATTCAGTTGAGCCGACTCCACCCCGCAAGGGATTATGGGATCGTTAAAAGAAGAAGAAGATGATGATGATGATGATTGGACAATGAAGGGTGGGGTGTCGCTCTCTTCCCAAGCGGTCCCTTCGTTGTTTAACTCGGCCTTTCTCCAACTTGGGCCCTTGAACACGGATGGACTTCAATTCCCAGGATTCTGATCGGCTGGGGGATTCTGGGAGTTGAAGTCCACCCACCTTTCCAAGTTGGAGAACAGCTGGATTGCCACATCGGTGCAAAGTAACGTGCGACTTCTCCGCCGTGCCCCCCCCCGGGCTACCCCGGGCAGGGCTTCAAAAGGAGAAGTTCGAAGAGGTGCCCGGGGTGTGTGCAGAATTGCACAACTCCTGTGTGCGAGCAGGACTCGCCCATTCGATTGACTCTTGTGGACGAGAGCTGTTGCAGCTGGGCCTCGCCCCAAAGCCAGCCGCCCCATTCCAAACAAGGCTTTCCCCATGCCGATTTCATCTCTTGTAAACAATGTTGGGTTGTTGCACAGACACACACGCAGGCAGACGCAGCCCCGCAAATCAGGAGTCAGATGGTGGTTTGTGCCTCGCTTAGCCTGAGCTTGTTTTAGTTAGTTAGTTCCTCCGGTCTGCTTGGGAGGGGGGTGTTGTGTTTGAATGGCCCCCGATTTTCTCCCTGTTTAAATGGCTTTTTAATTTTTATTTTATTTTATTTTATTTGGGGGGGGGCTGCATCCTTGACCCCAGCTGTGGAATGACTGGGCACCCTTCAGACGTCGCTTATTTTCTCCTGCCACTTTCCAGACCGAGGTGCTGAGATTGAATGGTAAATATGCATTACCACATTGTGTTTTTCTCCCTCTGTTTCTCTTTCTTTCTCTTTCTCTCTCTCTGTCTCTTTATCTTTCAGTCCGTCTGTCCTTCTCTCTCTCTCTCTTTCTCTTTCTCTCTCTCTCTTCCTCCCTCCCTCTTTCTCTCTCTCTCTCCCCCCTACACACCAACACAGAGTGTGAAAAACCCTTTGCAGTCTTTTCCCAGCCCAAGGAAAAACTTTCTCCCCTTTAAAATCCTTCCGTTGTTGTTATTTTTAATTATTGAAATCTCTTCTCCCTGGAGGCAGTTTTCGGCTGCTTAAACGCCTTCAGTTTTGGATGTCGTTGTTTTGTTTTAAGTTCTTAGTCGCTTTAAAGCTTCACTGTTTCACTGACCAGCTTATTCATCGTTGTTTTTATAAGCTCCAAAATTGGCTTGTATAGACACACAAGTGGTCCTTGCCTTGCAACATTCATTCAGTGACCGTTCAAAGTTACACCGGTACTTTAAAACGTGACTTAGGATGATTTTTTTAATACTTATTCTGCAAAATGGGGGGGGGCAAACGAAAGAGAAAACAGCTTCTGTATCTGAGCTGGGTTTGCTTACTTGTAAGTGACCTTTGGAAAAGTGGCAGGACCGGTCGAACTCGCTTCTGGGACCATGTGGGTGTGCGCAAGCGTACACACTTGTGCCAAGAAAATTCAGCTGTGTTCCCCTGTCCCGTCTCCAAGTCCAACTTTCCAGATCCGGTCTGGGAATCTTGCCCCAAATTGTCCTTTTTCTCCGATATAGATATCTATATCTATCTATATAGTTTATCAATCTATATCTGTCTATTGTCTATTAAATCTATTATCTGTCTGTCTATCTATCTATCTATCTATCTATCTATCTATCTATCTATCTATCTAACTATCTCTGTCTATTATCTATTACATCTATTATCCATCCATCCATCTATATCCTTCTATTATCTATTATTTATCTATATCTATTATCTATCCATCCATCCATCCATCTAATCTATCATGTATTATTTATCTATGTCTATCTACCGTATATATGTCTCTCTATTATTTATTCTATATCGATATTTGTCTCTCATCTATTATTTATGTCTGTCTATCATCTATCTGTATATGTCTCTATAATCTATCATCTATCTGTATCTGTCTATTATCCACTATTTATATATATTATCTATCCATCCATCTATCTAATCCAGAGGTCTCCAAACTTGGCAACTTTAAGACTTGTGGACTTCAACTCCCATAATTCTGGGTGTTGTAGTCCACAAGTCTTAAAGTTGCCAAGTTTGCAGACCCTGATCTGATCTATCATCTATCTATTATTTATCTATGTCTGTCTATATATCTGCTATCTATTCTTTGTCTATACAATCAATATCTATCATCTATTATTTATATCTGTCTATATCAATATAATCTATCAGTCTATATCTGTCTGTTATCTATTATATCCATCCATCCATGTAATCTATATTATCTATATCTGTCTATTATATTATTTATCTCCATCTTTGTAATCTATCTATGTCTATTATCTATTATTTATCTCTATTCATCGTGGTTATTGGCTAAGCTACGGTTTACCTCTCTACCAGTCCCACTTCATCGTGGTTATTGGCTAAACCATGGTTTACCTCTACTGGTCCCACTTCATCGTGGTATTGGCTAAACCATGGTTTACCTCTACTGGTCCCACTTCATCGTGGTTATTGGCTAAACCATGGTTTACCTCTACTGGTCCCACTTCATCATGGTTATTGGCTAAACCACAGTTGACCTCTCTTTTTTCCCCCCTCCTCCTAGGGCTCTCCTGGCTCAAAATGGCCCAACAGCACTCAACCGGCCTTCTGGGGGACGGAGATCCTCTCCTGGGACCTCCATCCCCCAACAACAACAGCGTGTCTCCTCGGGAGAAATGCCCCCCCGCGACCCCCTTGGAGGATGCCGACCCCCTGGCCAAGCCCTCGACCCCCCTCGCCACTCCACGCCGGATCATCCTGAGCACCAAGAGCCCGGCCGCCCTCAAGGTGGGCACCCAGCAACTCATCCCCAGGAGCTTAGCCGAAGACCCCAAGTCTAAGCTTCCCACCCGTCCCCAGAGCTTCTCCGAAGGGGCGGCAGGCGGCAGGGAGGGGCTCCGTGGAGACCCCAAGCGCTTGTCGGCGCCCAGCCTTTCCTTGGAGGACGAGCCTGACGACGAGCTGGACGCCGTCGAAGGGATCCTGAAACGCAACCTGCGCAGCATGTCTTACCGGGCGGCCATGAAGGGCGTGAGGAACGGCGGAGAACCTGAGGTGCCCCCGGCCGTGGGGGTTCTCAAGCCCATGTTGGGGGATGCCAAGGCCCCTGCTGGCCGGGCTCCTGCGAGGAACAAGGTAGGCTAAAAAGAGTGCCCCCCTCCCCCCCAAAAAAATTGGCACGTCCATCCACATCGGTTCCCCTCAAAGCCATCCCTGAGGGCATCTCCCAGGCTTCCTGCCCAACGAAATAGCCCATTTAGGGACCGTTCCAAGTAGCTACTCAAAGGATGCTCCGTCTTGCTATTTGTCTGGGATGGTAATAGGGTCTCCTGCCTGAGCAGGGGGTTGGACTAGAAGACCTCTGAGGTCCCTTCCAGGTGCCTAGGATGCTATGATTCTGAGATAGATCGATAAGATACGTGACAGATGGGGAGGTAGGGAGAGATGGATGGATGGATGGTTGGATAGATAGATGGATGGATAGATGGATGGATGGATGGATAGATGAATAGATGGATGGAGGGAGGGATGGATGGATAGATGAATAGATGGATGGATGGATGGATGGATAGATGAATAGATGGATGGATGGTTGGATAGATGAATAGATGGATGGATAGATGAATAGATGGATGGATGGAGGGATGGATAGATGAATAGATGGGATGGAGGGATGGATGGATGGATGGATGGGTAGATGAATAGATGGATGGATGGATGGATGGATGGATGGATGGATGGATGGATGGATGAATAGATGAATAGATGAATGGATGGATGGATGGATGGATGGATGGATGGATGGAACAACTTGCCTCCAGAAGTTTGGGTGCTCCATCCCTGGAGGTTTTTAAGGAGAGACTGGACAGCCGTTTGTCTGGAATGATACAGGGCTTCCTGCCTGAAAAGGGGGTTGGACTAGAAGGCCTCCGAGGTCCCTTCCGACTCTGTTATTCTAGAATCCCAGATCAATTCACCAGTGGAACACCTTGCCACCAGCAATCTTGGGTGCTCCACCCCTGGAGGCTTTTAAGAAGAAATTGGACCACCATTTTATCTGAGATGGCCTTAGGAGTAACGAAACATCTCGGTTTTAATAAGCCTCGGTCCAGCGGTCATGATTTAACCTGTTTAGACAGGCCTGTGTGTGTGTGTGAATCCTTGGAAAAGCAAACCCCACTGATGGGGGGGACCCTTTTCTTCCCCACAGCGAACATTGGGGCGCAAGCGACTGCAGCATCACGGCGGTTCGTTCAAAGATGGTGAGTCCTGTGCCGATCTTGACCCTTCCTTTCTTCCTTCCATCCTTCCTTCCTCCCTCCCTCCTTCCCTCCCTCCCTTCCTTCCCTCCTTCCTTCTTTTTTCTCTCTACCTATTCTATTCCCAGCTATCCTTCCATTTCTCCCTTATGCCTTCCTCCCTCCCTCCCTTCCTTCCCTTAAAATTGATTTTATTCAGAGCCAGAGAGCGGTGAGGATGCGGACAGACGTAAAAGGGAGAAATTCCAGTGCAGGCAATCCTTGACTTAGCAACCATTCCTTTAGGATCTCCTGCTCAAGCGGGGGGGGTTGGACTAGATGACCTCTGACGTCCCTTCCAACTCTTATTCTGTGATTTAGACCGAGATTTTGCCCCTTGTGGTTGGTGGCTAGTGGTTGGTGCTCTGACCCTCCCGATATTCTTGTGCGTTGACCCACAAAACTGTTTGTGGCTGGATCTCCTTGATCCATCCCTCCCTCGTCTCTCCTTCCGCCAGATCCCCGCTTGTACCAAGAGATCCGAGAAAAGGGCCTCAACTCCATCAACCACGAATCGGACGACGACTTGCTTGACCTGGACGCCATTCCCGAAGAACAGCCGCCCTCCATCGTGGTGAAAAGCTACCGCCCTGCCCACGCCACCTGGAGCCAGCAGCCCGAGGTAGGGAACGCCGAGGGGAAGACACAGTCGGGCGAAGGGCTCCCTCCCGGTGTCTCCGTACTCTGTTGTGGGGCGGACGCTGCCTGGATCGAGGTCCATTGTGGTCATAAGTCAAGGACTGCCTGGAATTCCCTTTCTGGCCTCCCTGGCTTCTCTCCCTTCCATTCGACTCCAATGCAGGTCCTCTGGTGCCCTTCTCCACATTCCAAATTCTCTAAATTCTAAATACTCTAAATTCTAAATATTCTAAATTCTAAATACTCTAAATTCTAAATACTCTAAATTCTAAATTGACTAAATTCTAAATTCACTAAATTCCAAATTGACTAAATTCTAAATTTTCTAAATTCCAAATTGACTAAATTCTAAATTCTCTAAATTCCAAATTGACTAAATTCTAAATTCTCTAAATTCTAAATTGACTAACTTCTCTAAATTCTAAATTGACTAAATTCTAAATTCTCTAAATTCTAAATTGACTAACTTCTCTAAATTCTAAATTGACTAAATTCTAAATTCTCTAAATTCCAAATTCTCTAAATTCCATTCACTAAATTCTCTGAATTCTAAACGCGCTGAACTCTAAACTCTCTCAATTCTAAATTCTTCCAAATGCTAAACTCCAAATTCACTACATTCCAAAATTTTCTCCATTCAAAATTGACTAAATTCTCAACTCTCTTGAGTTCGAGAACTTTAGACAAACCCGATTCCAGCCGCCATTCTTTATATGTTTAAAATAAAATATAGGACTCTTGGCAAATGCCCTCCCGTCTTTGGAAAAGGCAGAGGTGCAAAAGGGCAGCTGAAATGCAGAAGGAACACACACACACACACACACACACACACACACACAAACCAAATAAACACACACTGGATTTCTCTTAAGCCACCAACCTGCCTTTTCAAAGAAAGGAGAGAAAAAATGGGTGGCATCACACAGAGAACTTCGCCCGTTGACCCCGTTTCCTGAATCAGCCAGGAGGAAATGCCACTTTTGCATTTTGTTCCCAGTGTTGCAATAAGAAACTCAAAAGCTTTGGAAATTCCCGGATGTGTGCGTGGCTGTGTAATTAAACACGCACACACAGAAATACACACATACACACAAAGGTAAGGCACGTACGTGACTGCCTCTGATTTACACACACCTTATCCCAGGCCACTCCCTGTTTCATGGTTTGTCATTCCGTTTGTCCGGTTTCTCGTGGAATAAAACGTTCCTCTTCTTTTATTTTTATTTTTTATTTTGTAAAACAAGCCCAAACTTTCCTTCCGACCCCACCCGCCCCCCGCTTCCCTAAATTTTTAGGGGGGAAAAGTAGAACATAGGGAATAGGATAGGTTAGAGGATAACCTGTCTGGAGGCTTCAGGAAACTTAAGTTTATGTGGCTGAGCCTGTCCCCTATCCAGGTGTGGACTTTCCAGATGTGAAGTCTTCACCTCCCCAGAGCTGAGAATTGAAATGTGCACATCTGGAGAGTTGAAGGCCTCTAAAAGTTCTACTAGGGGTTCTTGGTGGGTCCTGATGGGAGAAGAACCTGGGCTGAACTTCTACAGCATGGAGGGTCCTTCTTCAAGCCCATCTCCTCACCTCTTTTTCCTTTGGTGAACTTTTTCGTCAGACCCACAAACGAAGAATTAGGATATCAGGAGAACATTTCTTGAATTTGTCTTCTTCAGGTCCTGGAAGCCGGCATCTTGGACCGTATATCCCCGGAAGAACGTAAGAGGCAAGAGGTGAGCGACGGTGTGATATGGACCACCCATCTCCTTGGGAAACAGGGAGGTCTTGAGAATGTTGGAGCATCTTTGGTGGCCTTTCATGATCTTCAACCCAACTCAACGTCCCAAAGAAGGGATGGAAAAGGCCTTGGAGATCTGAGGGTCACCAGGAGAATCCCACAAGCGCCAAATTTGGGGTGGGTGGGAGAGCTACAGAAAGATGAAGAGCCAGCCTGGGGAATTCTGAGAGTCTATCCACCCATCCAGAATTCCGGGAGTTGAAGTCCACCTATCTTAAAGTCACCACGGTTGAGAAACAATGTTGGGTTCTTCCAACACAGCTTCTCCTTAACTCCAATTTAACAATGATGATGGCTTCATTCTAAGACCACCACAATACTGATTCTAGCTTAGTGTCCGGGTTCCGACGATTGCCCTCATTAAATCCTGAGCCTCGAGCCAAGCTTCAAAAGAATCCAAAATCTTTATTAGGAGCAACATGGCGGGCACTAACTCCTATGAAGCCAACTCTGAGACACGTAATTTAGTATCACCTATGACCCTGTTCCCCCCCCACACACCTCCTTGTGTCAGGGGTCCAACAAATCCACCCTCATTCAAATCAAAAGTCTCTAGCCGCGTCTCAGAGAAAAGAAAATCGATTTATTAGAAGTGGCCATGTTGGCGTTGAGCTGGGTGCAGCCAATGCTAAATTACATCATACATTTCCCCCTTGACCCTGGTTTTCCCTCCACCCCCTGGATGTGACTTCTCCAATGGGACACATCCACCTCTAAGAGTCATCCATCATGCTCTCCAATAACCTTCTAACGCTCCGATGACTTTGGGCTGCCAGGGTGATTATCTAGGCATTTAAGGAATGTCTTGTTTTTCCCCCACTCCCTTTTTCTGGCAGCTAAAAAGACCAAAGGAATTGTCAACTCATAAAACATGTTGTGTACACGTTTTATAGTTGACAACAGAAAGAAGGCGGGGGGAGTTTCAAAGAGCAGGCGGCAGTGTGGAATCGAAAGTTCCTTCCATTCATATTTTCTTCAAAGACTGATTAGATGACTGAAGCTTCTGCCACAAAAAAAATCTAATTGGAGAGCATGATTGATGATTCTTAGCTATGGCCGTGTTTCGTTGGATGATACACCCAGAGGGGTGGGGGTGGGGAAAAGCAGGATCAAGGGTGACAGTGAATTACGTATCTCAGAGTTGGCTACACCCAGATTAGTGCCAGACGTAGAATGTTAACTTAAATCCTCTTTAGTTTTGGGAGTGTGGCTCGAGGCTCATGATTTAATTGGAGTAACTGCCGGAACCCTGACAGGAATATCTTTTTAGTTGACACCTTGGGTGTGTCATAAATCAGATTCTCCAACCGAAACACGTTCACGGGCTGGGTGTCATCAATCTCATTCTCCAATGAAGGATTTTTGTGGGCAGAAGACCCGGTAGCCTAGGCTACAACCTCCATAAGATAAGCGTGGAATGTGCTTCTGGCCTTCATCTATGCTCCCGGCTCCTCCTTATGGCAACTCGGAAACAGGCCTAGGAATGATTTACGAGTTAACACTAAGAAATGCAAACTGGCTTCTTTCTCCCAACCAACCTCAACGAACCGCCAACAAACCATCCTTCTGCCCACCTTCACCCTCATGGATCTTCTCTCCATCTCCCCCCCACACACACACAGGCCATCTTTGAGATCATCACCTCCGAGTACTCCTACCTCCATAGCCTGACCATCCTGGTGGAGCATTTCCTGAAGTCAGCCGAGTTGAAGGAGACCATGACCCAGATGGACCATCATCACCTCTTCTCCAACGTGGGGGACATCTTGGCGGTCAGCAAGAGGTCAGTTTTAGAGGACAGAGGGAAGAAGGCTGGGGTTTAGTCAGTGGGTGACGTTCCCCGAAAATAAGATCTGGTGCCTTTTTTGGTAGCAAAAAAAGAAATATAAGACAAGGCCTTATTTCGAGGAAATATTTTTTAAGTCCTAATTTCTACCTCTGTTACCCAACCATGGATAAAACAAATCCCATGTTTCATCGTATTCTGTGTCTTCCTTTTCTTTTATCTTCAGCGTTAGTCTGTCCATTTTTGCACCGTTTAGTATTTTTTTTAATTATATCATCTTCTGTAGGGGTTTCCTCCTTCTTCCAGTGTCGTGCCCAGACAATTCTTGCTGCTCTCAAAACATGCAATATCAACTATAAATTCCCTTTATCGTATTTTTCTGGTATTCTGCCTAAGAGAAATAGTTCCATCTTATAATCGATATGCTGTCTTCGCATTTTTTTTTCTAACCACGTATGAAATTTTCATCCAATTATTATTACTATTTTGCTTTCGGGCACTTCCACCACATGTGATAATATGTGCCCGATATCCCTGCTAAGGATTTCATTGTAGGGTGGGTGATTGTGAGCTTCTCACGAGATTTTTTTTGGGGTGTGTGTGTGTGTTTGTGTGTCTATCTAGCTTTTTTGAGGATTTGGAAAAGAGGCACCAGGAGCACGTGGTGATTCCGGACATCAGCGACGTGGTGGAAGCGCACGCCTCCGGACACTTCCACCCCTACGTCATCTACTGCTCCAACGAGGTCTACCAGCAGAGGACCCTCCAGAAACTCCTGTGAGTTGAGTGGAGACCCCTTTGGCTCTTGGACGAGCGAGGCTACAATTTTGCAGCCGTTTTCCAAATCCCGATTTTGCAACCCTGGGGGGAAAAGAGCAGGATGGGTACAATTTAATTATTTAATCCTGCTAAAGTTTAGGGTAACTGGAGGCATTGTTGTTGTTGAAAAACTGGAAAAGGTATGCAAGGGGTGAGTCTCCGTTATGGACAGCCGTTTGTCTGGAATGGTCTAAGGTCTCCTGGTTGAGCAGGGGGTTGGACTAGAAGACCTCCAAGGTCCCTTCCGGCTCTATTCGGATTGATCCATTGATTTAAAATAAAGGAGGGTGCTGTCGTAGGAGAAGGCTTGTCCAGAAAGGGTTTTGTTTTGTTTCCCCCCCCCCCCCTGAAATGGCTTTTTGGTTGTGGAGGGGGGGAAAATTAATCCTGTTTTTCCAATTCTGTTTTTAGAGCTTCCAACGTCGCCTTTAAGGAGTCCTTAAAGCGGATTGAACAGATGCCGGAATGCGGCAGCCTGCCCCTGATTTCCTTCCTCATCCTCCCCATGCAGAGGGTGACACGGCTGCCCCTCCTCTTGGATGTGAGTAAAACCGGGGCTCTTCGGCCCTCTCCTCTCCGAACCTCGGGAACGAGCTGTGCCGCTAGTCCTCAGTGAGGAACGGTTCCAGCCCGCGCAGCCGTGACGGGTCCCTGGCTCGCATTTTGCTTGCTTCATCCGATCATTTTCATTCCATAGAAAATGTTAAGATCCTGCTAGTGTTCTAAATATCTGATTTATAAGCATAGAATCTTAGGGTGAAAAGGGAACCTGGGGATCATCTAGTCCAACCCCTGGTCTGGAGCAAAAATTTATTTTAGTAGAGTAATACTAAGTGTACAGTTAACACATTATTTAATAATACATTTGAAGAGTATGGTTAGTAGATTAGCAAAGTAAAGTGAGTAAGTATAGAAACTGGGAGGGGAGGGAAGGAGGGAGGGAGGAAGGAAGGAGGGAAAGTAGGAAGAAAGGAAAGCAGAAAGGCAGGAAGGGATAGGAAGGAGGGGAGGAAGGAGGGAAGGAAGGAAAGCAGGAAGGGAGGTATGGGAAGGAAGGAAAGCAGGAAGGAAGGAAGAGATAGGAAGGAGGGGAGGAAGGAAGGCAAGTAGGAAGAAAGGAAAGCAGGAAGGAAGGAAGGGATAGGAAGGAGGGGAGGAAGGAAGGAAAGTAGGAAGAAAGGAAAGCAGGAAGGAAGGAAGGAAAAAAAATAGGAAAAACACCTTACAGTGGTATATTTACCCAAACCCGGAAGTCCCTTAGATATCCAAACATTTTGGCTGGTTCTTGGCACCCTGCTACGCCAGATGTGCCCTGAACCCATCAGGAGCCACAAACGAGGCATTGCAAACATCTGTAAAATGGGGGGGGGACTTGGGAAAACCCCTTTTTTTTCCCCCATTTCAGACCGTCTGTCAAAAAACCCCAGTGAACACAGCTGCGTACCGAGCCACCACGCAAGCTCTGAAGGCCATCAGCAAGGTAGGTTCTCCCAACAGGTGCGGAAAAGAGAGAAATGGCTTTTTTGGGGGGGATAAATTGGCTCTTTTGGGAAGAAGGGAAAGGAAAACAAGAATAGCTTTTGGTGACTTAATGGGAGTTTGGCTTACTTTTATTTTTTATATACACACACACACACACATATATGTGGATCTTTGGTTATTCGGGTTTTCTCCCGCGTAAGATTGGAAGTATCTAGGCAACGTTTCGATGAAGTCTCATTCATCATCTTCAGGCTTGTGTCTTCGCCTCTGTGCTTCTCAGAGTATATACATATATATAGTATATAATAATAAATTTATATAAAATATATGTCAGGATTCCGGCAGTTCCCCCCAATGAAATCATGACTCTCGAGCCAAACTTCCAAAGCCTCGAAAGGATTTATTGGGAGTTAAGCTGCCGGCACTGCCTGGGTGTAGCCGACTCTGAGGCACATCATTAATCGTCACCCTTGACCCTGGTTCCACCCCACCCTCTGGGTGTATCCTAATTCATATTCTCCAATGGGACCCGTCCATAGCCCAGAGTCATCCATCACGTTCTCCAGTTAGAATTTTGCCCGGCAGAAACTTCAGTCGCCTAGTTACTACCTTTGAAAAGCTATCAATGGAATGCGCTTTCAGTTTCCAAGCTGCCGCACTGCTCTTTCAAACCCCTCCCCCCCCCCTTTCTGTTGGCCACTCTAAAAAGACCATAGAAATATTTTATGAGTTGACTGTATATATATATATATATACCCATCCATCCATCCATCCATCCATCCATCCCTTCTTTCGTTTGTCTTGGCAGGTGGTGAAGAAGTGCAACGAAGGAGCTCACACCATGGAAAGGACGGAACAGATGTGCAGTCTGCAGAACCAGCTGGATTTTGGCAAAGTCAAGGTGAGATCTTTCCACCCAAGGGCTTCTGGGAAGGAAACTCTCGTGGCTCAAGCTTGGCTCGCTTCGCAAACCTCGCTCGCAGCCCCCCCCCCCCCAAAAAAAAGGCAACGGGGGTGGGAATAGGTTCAATTAATCAATGGAAGGATTTGCCTTCAGAAGGATTTGCGGTGCCTCCATTACTGGAAGAGACTGGGCAGCCATTTGTCTGGAATGGTTGAAGGTCTCTTGCTTGAGCAGGGGGTTGGACTAGATGACCTCCAAGGTCCCTTCCAGGGGATTCTGTGGTTTTATGGTCTCGGCGGACAGTTTGACCCCGTAGCCGAACCGACCTTCTGCCTCTTTCAGAACTTCCCACTGATCTCGACCTCCCGCTGGCTGTTGAAAAGGGGCGGAGTCTGTCTCCCTCCAACCGAAGACGGCGGGATCTTTCGGAAGGGATCCGGGCGGGGAATCTGTTACCTCTTTGTCTTCAACGACGTCCTGATCATCACCAAGAAAAAAAGGTGAACGCAAAAAAAAAATCCTTCACTCTTCCTGACCGTCCGTTGATCATTCATTCATAATCATCATGATAATCATCATAATAATAGTAATAATAGATTGTGCGATGAATAATAATAATATAATCATAGTAATGATAATAGTAATAGTAGTAATAGTAAGAAGAAGGAGGAGGAGGAGGAGGAGGAGGAGGAGGAGGCAAAGTTATTTCCAGTTAGTCCTCAACTTACAATAGTTCCTTTAGTGACCGTTCAAAGTGAAAAAAAAATATTTACAACCCTTTTTTCACCCCTATGACCGTTATATATTTGTGTGTATGTTCTCGAAGGGGAGGAAAAAAAGCATGAGTGCTTTTTAAAAAAAAGTTTTAAAAATACAGAAAAAAAAACTAAAGTATAATACGTCATTATTATAACCTACTAGCTCGATACCCGTGTGCTTTGCTACGAAACTCACGCTTACGGCCGTTGGATTACAACCCCACGATCAAAATTCAGAAAAAAGATAGATTTTTTTTCCTCAATTTGGCCAAGTTTTGGGGGGTGCTTCTTCATCATGGCTCGTATATGACGCTGCATCCATTTAATTATGAGAAAAGAAAATTGGGGTTTTTAATCTGCTTCAAGGAAACGTGAACGACAAAGTTTTTGGAATGAAAGGTGGGAGGTTTTTTTCTCAAGCTTTGGTTTGATTTCCTTGTTTCTAAACCAGGATTATTTTAAGCCCTTCTCGGCCTGGCTGATCAGAGATTTTATTAGAGCTTTGAGGGAACGTAAAAACCAACCAGAAACAAACCAGAATTTGGGAATCAGGCCCTTAAGTCACTCATGGTTCCAACAAGCCAGCTTTCCTGAAACAAAGCCAGGTTTCAGATAATAGTTTGTTGCGAAGGTGGGAATGTGGGAAGCCTTTAGCCTCCTCCTGCCCTCAGCCTTGGGCATCCTTGAATCTTTGTGGCCGCAATAAACCATGTTTTTTTTTTTTTCCTGGCTTCGTCTGTGGACTGGAGAGTTGAAAGATGAAATAGTGTAAATAATTGTCTGTCATTTGCACACTTGTCTGTTCTTCGTCACTCAGCTTTCTCCACTCGCCCCTGTGTGGACTTCATTTCCCAGAATGCCCTTCTCCCCTTGGAGAAAAATGTTGGTTTTTGCATAAAAATGCGTAAAATGATATAAATTTTGCATCAAAATGCGATAAAAATTGCATCCGTCACTCAACTCCTTCCCCTTTTTTGATCTTTTTTATTTTATTTCCTCTTCTGGGTCAGCGAGGAGAGCTATGCTGTCCTCACCTACTCCATGTTGGAACATCTCACGGTCGAGAAGATCGAAACCCCAGACAGTCCGACCAGCCTCGGTCGCAGCGGCCACCTCTTCCAACTCACTTTGCGGAAGGACAATGAAGGCAAGCCGGAGGAAGTCGTCCTGGCTGCAGAATCGCGGTGAGTATTCCGAGCGAGAAAAAAGTTGGCAACTGACCGGTGCTGAAACAGTTTGTGATGACCCAGGATGGAATACAAAAGCAACAAAGTCACAAAAACAGTTTAATTCCTTCAACTTGGCTTCAACGGTCCAATTATTATCATTGACTGGAGACAAAAAACTCTCCCACAAACAGTTGTGAAAAGGAAGAAATGCCGTTCAAACTCAAAATACATATAAATTATAAATAGAAAAAACAACAACACAAACCACACTGAAGCAATTAATAAGACAAGGCAGGATAAGGGCTTGAAGACGTCCACAGATATTGAAATACACACACTGGGAAGGAGCCAGAACTCAGATAAGAACTGAAAGACTAGAATTATTTCACTCTTTGCTTCCAGCACTGGGTTATGCGCAATTTGTCCTTTTAAACAGTCCTCCCAGCTGCAGCCCATGAAGGGGATCAGGGCCCTTTCCTCCCCTGTAGACCACACCATTCACGTTTCTCCCTTATCCACTCCTCCCTGTGTGCCCTAGAATGAAGAGGGGATGGGCCTGGGTCTTCCTCTGAATGCCCAACCAGCCTGTGCCCTTCCCCAGATAGGAGACCACGAAGAGATCCCAGAGCAGATTTTGAAATTTGAACCCAATTTGGGACACCGTCTTGAGGGTAGATATTATTCTTTTTTTTCTTTTTTTTAAAAGATATTATTCTGAACTGGAGGAAAAGAGAGGGAAATCTTCCAGATTTCTCTTTCCCCCACCCCAAAATCTGGATCCAAATTGCAGAACACCCTAAAATCCAGGGTTTAGGGGTTTCATTTTATTCCGACCCGCTCACAAACCCCTCCCCTTTGTTCCGTGCAGAAGCGACAGGGCCCGATGGATCAGCGCATTGATGCACCGAGAAGAGAAAGAAACCAGCACAGCAGAGAAAGGAGGTGAGTCCAAAAGAAATGCTCAATTTTAGTCTCAATTTTAGCCCAGCAGGGAAAAAGAAAATGATCCATTTTGCGAAATAAAATGCAATGTTTTTTTTTCCTCTCCTCCTAATCCACCTGTTCCAAGCAATTATGCACTTTTCACCTACCGTGTTTCCCCCAAAATAAGACCCTGTCTTATATACTATTTTTTTGCCACCAAAAAAAGGGCACCAGGTCTTAACAGATAATCAGAGTTGGAAGGGATCTTGTAGGTCATCTAGTCCAACCCCCTGCCCAAGCAGGAGGGAGGCCCTTATTTTGGGGGCATGTCATCCACCGAGTAACCTCACTTGCATGCATCACCCCCTGGCCTCCTTTTCACTGTGAGAGGCCTTTAGGAATCTCTTCTACTGTGGCCAGCAACCCTGCAGTGGGCGGGATCTTAATTAGGGCCTATTTTGGGGTGCACAGCTTATATTGGGCTGACGTGTAAAAATCAAGCTAGGACTTACTTTCAGGGTAGGTCGTGTTTTCAGGGAAGCATCTGGCCTCCCCCGTCACAATGCATGAAAAGCACAGCTTTGGGGGAACCGACCGAAGCCAAATAATCGATTGTGGCTTACGGACTCCCAAGAGCCGAAAAGTCCTTTCTGGAGCTGAATCAACGCAATTTCCCCGTCTCTTCCCGTTGAGGCTAAGATCCTTTTAAGGGCAGGAGATTTTACTCTTAACTGGGGCTCTGGTCCAGATGTTCTTTTGCGGCGTTTTTCCCCCCCCCCCCCCCCTCTCTCTTCGTCGCTTCCACCACCAAGTCTGACTTGTTTCGTCCAAATGAGAAGCGAGCAAAGAATTTGGAAAGCAGCTCCGAAGAATTCCGTGTTTTGCAAAATAAAAAATAAAATAAAAATAAAAATCAGCACATGGGCGAGAGGCTTTTCCGGCCCTGGGAGTGTGAGAAGGATTGTGTTGTTCTGGGACGTTCAGAAAATGTTCCTGACCTTTTGTTCTCAGGATTTAAACAGAAGAATGTGTGTGTGTGTGTGTGTGGGAGAGAGAGAGAGAAAGAGAGAGACAGAGAGGCTGTCTTGTCTTGTCCATTGCAGAAAATTAGGCTCCGTGCTCCTCCTCCTGGTCAGATAGATAGATAGATAGATAGATAGATAGATAGATAGATAGATAGA